AACCAACAGCCAGTCAGGCGCCCCCCACATGCTTCTTAAACTTAAGCAAGTCTCCAACTGAACTGATTATCTTGTTGCCCTGCTATCCTGACAAATCTTTTTTGTCCCCCAAGCAAAAACTGTATCCATTCTCCTTGGTGCCACTCTTACCCCACAGCCAATCAGCTACCAAGTGTGTTCTACTGCCTAAATAGTGAATTTCTCACCTCTCTCAGACCCACTGCCACCACCTTGTTTCAGGCCAGACTAACGATTGATTTCTCTTTCATTAAAATCATCTTCCTCTAACTCAGCTCCCTAACAGGGCAACCAGAGTGACTGTCCTGAAATGCAAATCTAATCATGCTGCTTTCCTGCTAAAATCACCCCACGGTTCCCCATTGCTCTGAACATCCAAATTCCTGTTCACGGCCCCTGAACCCTTTCATCCTTTGGCTTTGCCTGTCTCCAGACGAATCTCTGACCCTCCCTGCCTCACACCTTACAGTTCAGCATTGCTAAACAGCTTTTAGTTCTCTGCACTCACCGTTGTTTCTTCCCTGCTCTTTCCTCAAGATACCCTCTCAACATGAATGGCTTTCCTGACCCTTGCCTGCCTAACTCTTACTCACCCTACAGTAAAACAGTCTCCTGCTCTACTCAACCCCACTAAAACCATGTAAGGTGTCCCTACCCAGGGCACCCACAATACCCTGCACCTGGCACATTTTACATTATTTTTACATGTTCATCTCCCCAGCCAAATTGACCCTTACTTAACGCAGGGTCTCTGTTTTTGTTCTCTAACTGCTTAGCCTATACCAAGTGCTCAAAATGTATTGAATGAAGACTCAATTTCCAAGTGCAGACATTATAATCAATCTGTCATATGGGACATGTTACAATGTGCCAGATGCTGTCAAGCAAGCCACCTTCCCTCCTTTGTTTCTTAATTCCGAGATCACTATCGTCAATTCCATTTACTTAATGGGGATTTAGAGAGAGGTGAAGGCACTTGTCCAAGCCACACAGGCAGAAAAGGGTGGAGCCTTGTTTGTTCTAGTCAGAGTCCTAAGTCCAAAGTCAAGCCTGTCAATCAGCAGTGTGTAGATTGCTAGTGCCTGCTCCCATCTGTTCTCTCCCTTCCCCTTGGTAATAGAACCACAATTTTTTCTGGGGTGACAGTGTGCCCCATTAAAAGATTACAGTTTAGCTAGATGTGCAATGTGACTCAGTCCTATAGGATTTCCAGAGGTCTCCGTCAAATGAAATGTGGGCCAAGTGACTAGAGTCACTTGTTGGGCCATGCGGTGTCCTTGAGACTGGAAGCCAGGATTGAAAATGGCAGCGCAGGAAGATAGGAGCCTGGGTTCCTGATAACACTGTGGACCCTATCAGTCATGGTCTGGCCACCTCCAGACTTAATATGAAAGGAAAATAAACTCTTGTTAAGCCACAGTGGTAGCTCTGTTACTATGCAGCCAAACCTGGTACGAATCTCAACCCTCTCCATCCCCAGGGGGCCAACTCAGAGAAGCAGCAGCCAGCATGGGTGATATAAAGTGTTTCTTTATTTGAACGTCATTCCACCTGCACTGAAGCTCAAATCCAGCAGCAGCAGAAGGGGTCAGGACCAAAATAAATGTTACCAAACTGGACGATGAACAGCGAGGACACATTCAGACAGAACTTACTAATGGGGTGTAGACAACACCAAGCTATCCTAATGACACACAGCACAGGCCCCTGAGGTCTGCTGGTCAGAGCTCTGGGAAGGATTGTCCCCCTCGTTCCCTTCTCGGGCAACTCCAGGCCCACCCAAAGGCTAGCCCTGAGCCAGGCAGGGACCTGCCTAAGTTTCTTGTGCTGGGAAGGTCCCAGCTTCTCCAAAGAGAGGGTTCCCCTGTCTCAATTACACTGGAAGTTAGAGAAGGCTGATTCCCCTGTGCCCCAGCAGGAATCTCAAGGAGGCCAAGGAATTTCCCTACAGCCTCATCTAAAAGCTCTCAGCTTAGCTAGTCCAGGCCTGGAAAGGACGAATCCTACCCACGGTCCTCAACCCCTCAGAAAAACAATGTTTTCCTTAATGGGTATTGGTTCCCAAACAGGAAAGTTTTCACATCTTAGAGACCCAGAAGGACTTGACCAACCAGCGCTCTCAACCACCTCTACGTTGTAGCTGCTTCGGCCTCTCCTGCAAGTCCCCAGACCAGAGCAGAAACAACCTGTTAGTGCCAGACCCCTCTGATCCAGTCACCACTCGGGGAGGAGCGCCTCCGTGGGGCACTCAAAGATCAGCTTCTTTCAAGAACCAAGAGTCCCAGAGGCCATGCTGAGGTGGTGACAGGTGACCACTGCATCCGTCTCCTCCCAAGGGCAAACGCCAAATTGCCTGCTTTGGCTAGGGCAAACCGCAAACCTGCCCTTGTCCACGATGGCTTCCTTGCCCCCAGAAAGCCATCCGAGCCACAGGGTGGTGGCTCTCCAGCCTCATGTGGGGCCCCTACCTGAACTGACGCATTGGTTTCTCGCTCTGCTCCTGCCTCTGCCGAAGCCTTGGGGACAAGGCTCTGGTTTGGTGCCCCCTCTTTTCCTTCCCTGTTGCCCTGGCACTCCTGCAGCCCACCCAACCCTGCTTTTCCAGCCCCACGCTCCTGCGTGCTTCTCTGGGCTGCCCCTTCCTTGGCAAAGGCACCAACTGTCTGGCTGCCTGGGGACGGGGAGGCACTCAGGACCCCCTCAAGGGGATTAACCTCTCTCTCCCCTCCCACTAACCCCCACTCCAGTGGCGCCGCGGCCGCAGAGGGGTGCGCAGCACCCTGGGCATCTGAGGGGAGGTTCCCACCTCCCCCCCAGCACAGGGATCTGGCACACACCCCCTCCCCCCTGCAGCAGGGCACACACAGCAGCCGCTCCAGTCCCTCAGCGTCCTGCCTCCTTTATCCTCCTCTGCCCCAAGCTGTGCCCCTGCACCCCAGTCTTCCGTCCACCGCTCACCGCTCACCGCTCCATTTGCCTCCTTCCCTGTCCCTATTCCTTCTTCGTCTTCCCAGCCACCTTCCCCCCTCCACCCCAGGCTCTCTGCACCAGGGTCCCCTTTTCCACTACTCTCTGCCTCTCTCCACGCCTTCCCTCCCCTCTCTCATTCTCACTTTCTCCTACCTCGGTCTTCTCCCCCTTCCCAACCACTGGCTCCCTCTCCCCCCCCCCCCCCCCCCCCCCCCCCCCCACTGGGCTTTGGTTTGGATCTTTGAGGAACTCACTTCCGCCCCCCCCCTCCCGCCGCCTCCCATGAGGCTCCCCTGACCCTCCCCTTCAGCATGGGCCCCTGGCGTACAGCCCCTTCCTGCAGGTAGAACCCTGGGGGAGGAGAGAGGGGCACTGGGCGGGGGCCAGAGCACCAGGGGAAAGGTGTTTGCTCAAGACGAGGGGGTCAAGAGGGTGGAGGGTCAGGGCTTGGTGAGGTCCGGGTTTCAGGAATCCTACCAGGACCCAGCATCTGATTCCAGTTAGGGTCCAGATGGGAGTCTCGTGCAGAGGATTTCTAGGGTCTGTCTTGGAAACCCTCTCAGGTCCAAGTCCTATGGAAATGAACACAAGACTGGCAAATACACGGCACTCGCTGCTTTTCTCCCCTCCTTTGGCTGAGGCCCACATAGGAAATGATCACAAGCTTCCCCAGTGAACCCACAGAGGCCTCCCGCTCTGGCTACACGGTGGACCAGTACTCCCCCACCCAGTACTCGAGGACAGAAGTAGGCACACTAGAGGAAGCCAACCTGCTGCCTGTACTGGGGGCTGAAAGGGGCTCTCCATGCCCCAGGCCACACGGCTCGGCCGCCAGGTCCACCGGGCAATGAGGGGAGTTTGGAAACACCTGGAGTCTCCCTCATTTGCCCCCGGACAAGGGGGAAGGAGATGCCCCCACAGTGGGAGGGGAGGGAGAGAGAAGACTCCTCTTCTGCTCCCCACCCCCCCCACACACACATACACGCTCACGCGCACGTGCGCACACACACACATACACACACACACACACACACACACACTCATGCCTCAGCTCCAAGCACTGCCCATTGGGCTGCAAACCCTGGGCATATCGCAAGGCGAGAGGTGGGCAAGGAGAAGGAAGTGGAGGTGAGGATAGGGTTACAAGGCGGGGATGGGGACAGGGGGTACCCTGTTTAGAGGTGACCTGCAAGTTCAAGTTATGCAGAAAAAGTATCAAAGAGGCAAGACAGTCTCTGCCCTTGGCAGATGCCCGGGTTGGGGGCATGAGAAGGGGCAGAGGGGGGATGCATCCCCTAATTCCCCACTCTTGGGCCCCCCTCCCGAACCTCCAGCCCTGACAACAGGGCCAAGAAGTCTGTACTGTACAAAACAGGCCAGGGTCAAGGGTCCAGTCACTGGTGAGACATCCCAGCAGGGAGAAGGCCAGGCAAGCTCCAGGTTGAGCCTCTTCCAGCCCCAGCTGCCATGGTCAGACGCCACCAAGACAGGAGTCAGAGCACCTCCTCCTACTGCCTCCTGAGCCCGTCTGTCCTCAGGCTCTGGGCTGCCCAGGGCCTCTGTCAGTGGCTGACAGGGAGGCCCTGTGCTTTCTCCCTCGGTGCAGCTCAGACTCCTTTGGGAGAGGTGAAAACAGGCTGGCGCGGGCGGCAGAGAGGCCCCAAGGAGGCTGGTGGCGCCTGGAGCTCTGTGATGATGCGATGGAACCATCATCAGAGGGGGGGAAACAGGAAAGAGTCCGGTCCACCCTGGGCCAGTGTCTTGAATAAGTTTCTGCAGGAGGCAGGGAAGAGAGGAGGCAAGGATGCAGCCAGGCAGGAGCCCTCCAGACTGACGGGGCCTGGGGAACCGGAGCCGCAGCGCCTCTTCCCCTGGAGACTCAGCCGGGGCCCCGGGCCAGGCTGGAGAGGGAGGGAGAAGCCCAAGGGCCCCGCGCTCCCGCTCCCGCTCCCTCAGGTCAGTTGAGGGACGAGCAGAATCAGGCCCTCCCCCACGCTGCATCCCAGCCCCAACCTCTTCAAAGCCGGGAGCTACAGGCAGGTAGCAGGTGAGAAGTCAGTCCTGGATGGGGTCTTCCCTCGGAGCTTGAATGAAGGGATGAGAGGGCAGGCAACGGGACAAGCTGAGGACAGGTCAATTCCTGGGCTGTGATCCTGGCCTTCAGGGTCCCTGTGAGTGAGCGACGGGACAGGGGAGGACTCCCCATCCGGAGACATCACCCCCTGGCCGCAACACGGAGCTTACCGTAGAGCCCACAAAATCTATGAGAGAGAGAGAGAATTGGAGAAAGTCAGAGACTACCAGAGCACTGGGGCTCCCACCCCCCCTCCGCCACCACTCCTCAGGGCAGAGCTGGGCGGGGGAGTGAGCTTCAGAGAGTCTGAAATCCAGCCAGGCCTCTGGTTAACTGGATGGTCCTGAGTCGGCCAATTCAACCCTTCTGAGCCTCAATTTCCTCATCTGTACAACGGGCATAAGAGCCTACTTCATAGGGTGATTCCAAGGAGTGAAAAAAACATAAATAATCCCAGCTAAGGACTTTTCACAATGTCTAGTGCATAGTAAATTCTGGAAATGATAGCAATTTATTTTTGTTTTTATTTTTGTCCTGGAGGTCTGGCTCAGAACTGAACTGTGAAGCTCACTCATCTTGAGCTCCCAATGAGGGGTGGAGCACCACCCCCCTCTCCCCCCTCCCGCCTGACGCTGTGGAAAGAAAAACTTGGGCTCCTTCACATCACTTTAAACACCGAGCTTAGGCACTTTGGGGAGGAAGGAGAGGACGCTGGGTGGGCCCACCTCACAAGAGTCACATCCCCAAACCCCTTCTTCAGAAAGGCCACATGGTTCTTAGTCATGCACTTCTAGAAGCTGCCACCAGAGGGCAAGCCCTGACCTCACACCAAGACCACAGAAACCACCAGATGTCAGGGTTTCCAGGGACAGGAGCTTCAGAGAAAGACAGGTTGGCAGCCCAACAGCCTAGGAGGGCCCTGAGAAAGGAAGCAGGCAGCAGGGAAGAGCTTAGCCTTTCAACTTGGACTGGGGTTCAAATCCTGGCTGCACCGCTTCAGTGACCTTGGGCAAGTTACTGGACCTCCGCAGACTTCACCTTTCTCATTTGTAAAATGGTGGTGGTGATGCCTGCCTGGTGGGGAGTCTTGAGGAGTGACAGCTTCTAGTGAGTATTCACCAAGTGCCCCTTAATAGACATAATCTTTCTTCCTCATCCAACAGCCCAGTGAGCTGGTACTATTTCCACCACCCTCATTTGAGGAAGTACAGGAAACTAAGGCTCAAGGAGGTGCGGTCCCCAGTCTGCTTCCGACACAGTCAGCCTCCAGTCCAAGGGTTCCACCACAAGACTAAACCACCTCCTGCCAGATAATAACCCTCACTGCCATTATCCCCATTTTACAGATGAGACTCAAGAGAGGAATATAATTAATGGAAAGTGCTAAATATAGACCCAGCAACATGCTAATATCTCAAGGCAGGGTGTGACTAGGAAAACCACTACTCCTATTTCTCATGGCAGGGAACGCACACCCAGACAGACAGCTGCCTGTCCACTGCTGCCATGCCGTGCCTCCCAGTGCTCCGGGGATAGGGTGGGCCCCTGGCTCAGAAGACCAAGCCTCCTTTGGAGAGCGATCTGGCACTATCATTACAATTTGAAGTGTGCAATTCCATTTCTGGAAAAACACCAAGAAAACACTGTGTATAAGGAGGCACAGACAAAGATGTCCAGCATAGCATTGTCAGTGATAGTAAAATCCTGGACACCTCCCTTACAGTCCCTAAAAGGAAAATAGTTAAATAGTTACAGTTCCTCCATCTGACATAATGCTAGGCACTGCATAAAAAGGGTTCTCCATAAAAGGATAAAGAAAGATTTTTAAGACACGCTCTAGGGTTGGGGACAAAAAGCGATCTTACAACAGATGTGTTTAGGACGACACCTATCCTGTGTTATATGAGCATATAACACTACTGTATATTTTTTAAAAGGTCATGTATTGTATGTAGATGCATAGATAAACATCTGATAACTGGTTAGCCTGGAGTCTCTGGCCTCGTGTGTAAATTTTTCTTCAATAGATTTCAACTTTACTTGATATATACAAAAGGTGATATGTAATATACTAGGTATAAAGCATACTGTAACAAACATCTGTGTGGGCTCACCACGCAAGAACACCACCAATATTTTGTACATGCTTACACATCCCCCATCTCAAGCTCTTGGCCTTCCCTCTTCTATCCCAACCACAGATAAGCATCATCCTATCTTCTGTATTTATTGTTTCTTTACTTTAAAAAAAATGCAGTTCCACCATAAATATATTTATGATTAAACCATACACTAGTTAGTGTCTCTTGGTTTTTGGTTGAGCTCCATAAAAATATCACTGTTAAAATCTGGAACTTGATTCCCCCCCCCCCCCCGTCTCAATATTATGTTTCTAGGATGTACCCGTTCTGTTACTTGCAACTGCAGTGCATGCATTTTCAGTTATGCACTAGTCCATGATGTGAATGTATCACCACTTATTTACCCATCCTCCTGTCAATGGCCATTTAGGTTGTTTTTAGTGGTTTGCTATTTGGAAACTACTGCCACATTTCTCATGGGTTTCTACTCAGAGTTGGGTTTGCTGGGGCCCAGGCATGCTTGCAACCGTTTGGATTTGAGGAATAACGTCAAATTGCTTTCAAGGTGGTGGGACTGTCTGCACCTTTTCCAGTTTTTGCTTCATCTCTAGGACTTGGTGACACCTGGAGGCCCCGCCCCCGCCCCACCCGCGGCGGGCCGCCCGGAAGCCCACTCGCCTTTGTTCTCCTGCTTGAGTTCCTCCTGCAGCAGGTCTGTTTGCCGGTTGCCCAGCACGAAGGCGAGGAAGGAGAGGATGAGGGCGTTGAGGATGCCGATGATGGCCAGGATGTACGCCCAGCGCACCGAACAGTCCCCCAGGGAGTACTTCCCGGTCTTGGCCCCGCACATGTCCCGGATCGTCTCGGCGTCCCAGCCGTCGGGAAAGATCATGCAGCCCAGCACGAGGCACAGAGCTGAGGGGGCGCGAGGCCGGGCGCACCGCCATGGTCAGGGAGGAAGAGAGAAGGGGTTGAGTACTCCCCAGAGCCCAGAGGACCACCGCAGCCCCCCTCGGCTGGGCCCCCGAGGGCCGCACCCTCCCGTTCGGCCAAGAGCCTGTTAACCACTTCCGTGGGTTCCAGAAACTCTAGGGTCTGGGACGGCCTCCTGCCTCGGGGAGCAGAACCTTTCCAGGTCCCTATAATACCCCCATCAAATCAACTCCTCCAGGAGGGCTTCCTGGAAATACAAGGAAATAGCAACCCACGGGCACCTCCCTCGGCTCCCGTTAGCATCCTGACCATGCTTACTCCCTCCCATCCTCATGATTCTTCATTTCTTTTTGTCCTCCATTCAACAAATATTTATTCAGCGCCATTTCCTTTTCTCCAAGACGCGGGGCATACGTTCTCGTTCACGCAGTCGAGCACTGTGCTCAAAGGACAGACTGGGAAAGTTCTTTCCCTTACTAAGTGTACGACCTTGGGGATGCCCCTTTTTATGTTGGAAATCACAGTGCTACCTCACGGGGTGGTGGTGAGGATTGAGGGAAGTAATGCGTGTAAACAGCCCAGTGCCTGGCATCTCCTCACCGAAGGCCCCTTGGGTGCCAGGCACTAGACTAGGCAGGAGGCGGGCGCATTACTTGGACTTCAGCCTCACAGAGCTTGTAGTTAGTGGGGGAAAGGTCATTAGAGCAAAGAGGCTCAAATCCTGACCTGGCTTTTTCCTACATTAGGACCTCAAGCCAGTTCTTTCCCCATTGAGCCTCAGTTTTCTCATCTGTAAAAGGGGAATAATGATGGTATTCAAGTGTAAAGATTACAGGAGGCAGCAAATGTAAATGCTTGACTTTGTAAATCCCAGGTAAATGTTAAATGTTATTATCAAAACTAGTCACAATGATACCAATAATAGTCACACAACTAAGGAAATAATTGGGGGGGGGAGCTTCGTTTAAGATGGTGGGGAGGGGAGAAAGGGCGAGGCCAAGAATTCTATTGAAATAGGCCCCTGCTGGTTCCTTCCTAGGTATTCACTCCCTCTGTTTAGTGACCCACCTCTGCCAATCCCGACCCAGACCCACGTGGTATGGGTAGGCTCTTCCCAATGCCCAGCCTCGTAGGTGGGACCGAAGTCTGAGCCAATCAGCACATGCCCCACACAGCCAATCAGAGCCGACTGAGTTTAGTAAGCGACAAGGACAGTGACCTTCCACTTCTGCCTTGCGGTGAGCAGCCAGCCCCGTGACTTGCGAGTTGCCCTTGATGTTTTCCTCTTAGTGCCTGACAGTCCCACCAGCAATGAGGTCACTGTGTCTGAGACCCGAAGGTTCCACACCAGGGCCGTGGGGTGCTTAACCTGGGTTTCAGATGACAGTGATGACAAAGGGGGTGGTGGCCGGTTCTGCCCACTGTCCATGAGGCCCATCTAGTTCCCAGGGTGGGGAGGATGCCCTCGGCTTTGTCAGGTCTCTCCCTCACCTACCGTTCAAAGTGCTCCCTAGTCCCCAGACTCCCATCTGCCAGTGCACGGGGCCCCTCGCTCTAAGGTTTGGCCTCCTGTGGCCTCCCCTGCCCTCCTGTGACACGACAGTGTCCCCACACCCCTAGGTTGTGCTCCTCAAACTGACGCAGGGCTCCCCCACAGCTCTGTGCTCTCTCTCGCTCTCTCTCTCTCTCTCTCTCTCTCTCTCTCTCACACACACACACACACACACACACACACACACACACACGGCTTCCTCTCTTCCCCAGTGCTTGCCTCCTCCAAGATGATGCCCAGCTAGAGCACAGCGAGTCGCTTATGGGCTGGGAAAAGAGTTCCTTGCCTGGCAAAGGCGCGGGCAAATTCAGGAAGCCCTGGGGTGAGAATGATCTTGAGGAGCTCAAGAATCCGACAAGTTTGAAGATGCCCTTTAGACACCAAAATGGAGAGGGAAGGTCAGGGGGAAATCAGTGCTGGAGATGTAAATTTGAGAGCTGTGGGCAGTAACTCCCTGGGGCTGGAGTTAGGGAAACCGAAAGAAACAGGACTGAGCCCTGCGGCGCTCCGTAGGAGGAGCCTCGGGAGAAGGTCGACCCGTCCATCTCCCCATAGATCCCTGACATTTTGCAATGCCCTCCAGGCCCCAGAGACGGGAGGAGGGTCAAACGCCCCGAAAGGGGGAAGAGGAGAGAAGGAGCGCCCTGGGTGTCCGAGGGCTCTGTTCCAGGTGGCGCGCTCCCGCCTTCCCAGCGAGAGGCTGGGGGAAGGAAAAGAGCCTGAGAAAGGGCCAAAGCCAGCCAGCCTCCCCGCCTCCCCGCCTCCCCTCCCCGCGTGCCGCGTTTCCTCTCGCTCGCGGAGCATCCCCGTTTCCATGGAGACTGCGCCCGCATCCCGAGCTCCCAGCAGCGCGGCCAGGCTCGGGAGGGCGGGCCTCTCCGCTCCGCAGCCCCCGCTCAGCCTTCACGGAGTTTCCTTCCCGTGGCCCTGCGCCCGCGCGTTCTCGCTCTCACCGCTCACGTGCCTCTCCCCAGTCGCGTGCCTCCCCATTCCTTCCTCCGGTCTTTTTATCTTTCATGTTCTTCATCTTTATCTTCACAGCCCTACTTCTCTCTCGGGCTTGTCTCAATCGCGCTCAGGGGTCGGCCTCGACCCTCCTCCCCTTGTCTAGTTAGATCTCTCCGCATTTAACACTCGTTCAACATCCCTCCTCTTCTCTCTTCCTTTTCTCGCTTCTCGTCCTTCTCTGGATCTAGCCCCCCGCCCTTTCCTCTCCCCGGCTCTCCCTTCCTACATTGTACATGTAAATCCTGAATGCCAGTTATGTGCGGGGCACTGTGCAGGGTGCTGGGGACACTGGAGGCGTGGTCCCCAGGAGAAAAGGCGTGTGGGAGGAATAAAATCAAGTCAGCACACAAACAGAATCGTTATGCATGTCAAGGAGCGCTTGCAAGGAAGCGGACTAGGGGTTGAGACCCAGAAGAGCCGGGTGTTGGGAGAGGGTGGGGTGGGGCCTTTCCCTCCTCTGCTCTGCAGCCATGTAGCTGTTGGCAACGGGGCCCCAGAGGCTGCTCGGCAAATGGGAAACACCCAGAAGTCAAGCAAATGGGGGGAAAAAAGCCTATCAGATGGTTTCCCTGGACCTGGGGGAAGATAGGAAAAGATCACTAATAGAGACAGCCTAGGACAAGGAAGTGACCAAGAGGTTCAACCATCAGGAGATGGAATGACTGCCGGCAAGGCAGCTTTCAGCATCCCCATGTCCTGGATGAGGAAACTGAGGCTGAGGTCTTTGGAGTCTGAGTTCAGGTCTCTCTTGGAAGACACAGACACAGGTGCAGGGTGCCATGTGGAGTAGGGCTTCTCAAGGGAAGCATTTTTGACATTTGGCCTTAGAATTCTTTATGATGGGGGGCTGTCCTGTGCCCTTGTGGGAGGTTGATTATCATCCCTCACCTCTACCTGCCAGATGCCAGTGGCACCACCACCTCCAGTCATTAATAAAGAACATCTCCAGGGCGCCTGGGTGGCTCAGTTGGTTAAGCGACTGCCTTCGGCTCAGGTCATGATCCTGGAGTCCCGGGATCGAGTCCCACATCGGGCTCCCTGCTCAGCGGGGAGTCTGCTTCTCCCTCTGACCCTCTTCCCTCTCGTGCTCTCTATCTCTCATTCTCTCTCTCAAATAAATAAATAAAATCTTAAAAAAAAAAAAAAAGAACATCTCCAAACACTGCCCAATGTCCTCTGGGAGGGTAAATTTTCCCTGGTTGAGAACTGGTCTAGGCGAAGGGGCCCTTGGGTGGGACATCTCTATCCATCACCCTACAGTCCACTGACTGAAAGGGTTGTGACAAAATTAATAATATGAATATTCATAATGTGATAATAATGTTCACAAACAGTATTATGTGCTTAACTACACGCCAGGGTGCAGAGCTCCTGACATCATGATCTTGTTTAATGCTGTAATGCATCTATACATTGGGAGAAGACATCAACCTCATTTTATAGATGAGTAAACAGGCTCAGAGGAACCAAGTATCATATCCCATGTCACAGAGCTAGTCAGTGGTGGGATCTGTATTTAAACGCAGACAGGTCTTTACTTAACATTTTTCTTTTAATAGACTCACTTTTTAACTTAGAGGCATTTACTTAAAAAGTAAGCTTTATATCACTATCATAGAAAAGGAAACCAGGATCATTTGCCACAAATAGAAGGAAACTATAAATATAATGAAACCAAAACAATGTTCTTAGATTCTAGCTGGATACTTTTGCCTGCCAAATGCTCTGAGCTCTCTCTCTCTCTGTTTAAGAGACTTAATAGTGTGAGAGGAGTTAAAGATGTACTAGCCCCAAAATGAAACTTTCTCCCTGGAGCCATGAGACACTGGCCACTGTGCACGGCCTCAACAGGAAGCAGAACTCCCATTCTTCACTGGGCAGCTTTAGGCAAAGTCAGTTTACCTCTCTGGGCCTCGGTTTCTTCATCTGTAAAATGGGGGTCATGGGACGCCTGGGTGGCTCAGTCGGTTGGGCGTCTGCCTTCAGCTCAGGTCACGATCCCAGTGCCCTGGGATCGAGTCCCACATTGGACTCCTTGCTCAGCAGGGAGCCTGCTTCTCCCTCTGCCTGCAGCTCCCCCTGCTTGTGCCCTTGCTCACTCTCTCTCGCTCACTCTCTCTTGCCCACACTCACTCTAACAAATAAATAAATAAAATCTTAATAAAATAAAATAAAATAAAATGGGGGTCATGACATCCTACTCATTTCATAATGCTTTTGTGAGAATCAATTGGTGAGAAGAGGTACACAAATTATCACTGGTGAAGCGGGGACGGGTCATGGCAACTCTTGGCAAAGTGGAAAAAAAATCTTGGACAAAAGAAATAAGCCTTTTCCCAGATAGTCAAGAACGGTTAACAGCAACTGCCTGGAGAAGGCGATAAGCTTAATTTTTACACATAATCATGATGGAGACCAGTAG